TGTCATATTTTTTGGCCATTTGTAGTTCTGCTAACATGGCTTGACAGATCCTGACTGTTACCTGTTTTCCTTGTGGAATGCTTGTCTTACTATTTATAATACTGGATTTTAAGAAAAAGCTTCTCCAGACACTTAGAAGAAGGTGAGCATATATGTGGTGAGAGGGGAAAGCATCTGTGGAAGGGATGGCCAGTGAGAGATGCTGGTCTTTCTTCCTGACCCAGGTTTCACCACTTTTGTCCCTTAATTGTCCTTGCTCAGAGAGTGGAGTGGGGTGTAGAAAGATCAATGATCAAAAACATACCAAGCCTGGCCACTAGGAGGCTCCCTGATCACCCTTTCTGGCCTTTCCTTGTTGTGGATCCATTTAATCTGTTAGGTCAGCTGAAACAACCCTGGTATTTTTTGAAATGAACGTGACTAGGAAAAGAATGCTGGGCAGAGCTCCTCTGGATGAACTCCAACCGCCAGCCTTTCTGATAGCAGCCAAATATTTTCATCATATACACCACACAGGGACTCCAAAGAAAATACTATACCGCCACTAAAATTTTGATGACTATGTGCACTTGGGAGCTCTGGTAGCGTAATGCCTAAGGCACTTGACTGCTAACCAGAAGGCTGGTGGTTCAAACGCACCAGCCACTCCTCGGAAGGAAGATGGAGCAATCTACTTCCGTAGTGATACAGCCTCGGAAACCCAAGAAGGGTTGCTATGAGTCTGGTCTGACTCAATGGCACATAACAACAACAACAACATGTGCACTTAGTGACATGGGAAGAGTGGCCTGTGACACCATTCACACCTGTGAATGTTAAGTCAAAGAAGCAAGCTACCACTTCTAAGCCTGCAGTAGATGCAGCTGGCCCTGGAGAGGTCTGGATCTTTTCCAGAACTCTTTCCTAGGCATCTCTATAGATCTGGCTCTCCACACTGCTGCCTCTGACCATTGGTGTGCAGCTCTGTGGCTGCCCTGGATCCTGTGGGCCACTGTAGTCCTTGGCAGCTCCCATGTCTCACTCTTGCTCTTTTGAGAGGTCTCTGTCACTTGGCTCTTAACTCTTATCCTCAGACTTGGTTTCTTCCTTGCGGTCTTATTTGGTATACACATTCATGGTTCAATTAAGGGGCTGCAATGTGGCCTTAGTGTCCAGCCCCATTTGTCTTGGAGTTCATCTTCCTTGGAATCCTGCAATCCGCATCAGCATCTGCTCATGGACTGGGAGAAGCCCTGTCTCTTCCTGCTTCACAGTTCCTAGTTTCCACTGGACTCCCTCCAAGCTCCTGTGTCCTGTCTGAGAGGCATCTTTTTACCTCATTATAGAACAAAGATGACTCATGGACCCTGAGTCCTAAACACAGGTCGCTCCTGTTCCAGCCACAAACTGCTCAGGTATCCTAAGCTGAAGTGCTCTGCTGTGGGGGTCTTGATGGAATGTGTTCCCCAGTGTAGTCCAAGATCCTGGGATGGTGCCTGACACATAGTAGATACTCAATAAATATTAGTTGAATGTGAAAATATGAATAATATTTTGCTTGAACTTCCCATTCACTTCTAGAATCTTTTGACTCCAGTCACATATTTAAAAGGAAAATTTTAAAAATACTTAATAAATACAATAATAGCAACTCACTTGTCTTCCAGCAATGGGAGCATTATTCTCTTACAATTGACAGAATGTTTTGAGCTCATTTGAAGGAAAAAAGGAGTTATTAAAGTACCAAACATTATTTAATATAAACCAAGAACCAAACTCACTGCCGTGGAGTCGGATCTGACTCATAGTGACTCCTCTTTGGGTTTCCAAGGTGGTATCACTACGGAAGTAGATTGCCCAACCTTCTTTTCAAGGAGTAGCTGGTGGGTATTATTTAATATACTTGGGCTAAAATCTAATAGCAAATACCTATAATCATACATTAAGACATAGGCATCATGAAAGTAGATTGGTGGTTACTTTGGGCTGGAGGGTGCATTAGGGAGAAAGGTGACTGTTAGGGATAGGGAGCTTCTTTTTGGGGTGATGAAATTGTCCTAAAATTGATTGTGGTGGATCAGTTTCACAGCTCCCATGACTATACTAAATAGCACTAAATTGTATGCTTTAAGTGGGTGACTTGTATGATGTGTGAATTATATCTTAATACAGCTGTTATTAGACAAAAGACATAGGCAGTCCTTTCTCTCCATGTCTACAGAAAATCCTTTGAGTAGGCAACACAATTTTTTAAAAGTTTCCTTCCATCCCCATATTGGCTCCTTTCTTAGCAGTCGTTATGTATGCTGCCTGAAGGGCCTGCTCTGAGTGTTTGCCCAGCAGCCTGTGGCAAGGAAGCCGGTGCTGGACAAGGATGAAGAAGGAACGCTAGTTGGCTGGGAGGCTGCTATCCAAAGCCCCTGTCCCCACGCCAGGAATAATGCGGCCTTGCCAGAGTGGGAGCCACTCCTTCAAGTTTCTTGAGGTTTTCCACAAGCTCAGGCCCAACTTGAAACAGGATTTCAAAGCTCCCAGTGTAGCAAGTACATGTTTAATTATTCGTATTATACAAAAATTTACATCCTCTAAAGAGACAGAAAGCAACTTACAAATAAGTGCTCAGCTACTCCAAAATCTTTGGAAAAATCATAGGCTCTAAAAGTCAAGAGACTGAAATTTAAAAACAAAGAAAACTTCTGGCTATGGGGCCCTTGTTAACCCAGCCAGACAGCATCCTATATAACTCTCTCTGTGTATGTAACTACTTCACAGTCAGGTATCATGATTCCTTGGTGATATTAGCCCAAGTTCTGTTAAGGGTAATGATATAATTTGGGAACAGACAAGGTTCATGGTTGAACAGCATGATAAACATAATGAAAGGCACTGAACTGTGCATGTGAACATTGTTGAAATGGTCACTGTTTGGTTACCTATATATTTACCACAGTTACAAAAAAAAAAAAAGAGAGGAAAAAAAAAAAAAAAACAACTACGTTAGTCTGAGTTAAATGGGAATGAGATGGTGGGGGAGTGTCTGATATATTTCAGAAAACCACATACATCATTTTTATAGTACTCTTGATTAGGAGCTCTGGTAGCATAGTGCCTAAGGCACTTGACTGCTAACCAGAAGGCTGGTGGTTCAAACCCACCAGCCACTCCTCGGAAGGAAGGTTGGGCAATCCTACTTCCATAGTGATACTGCCTCAGAAACCCAAGGAGGGGTCGCTATGAGTCGGGGCCGACTCGACGGCAAATAACAACAACAACTTGATTTGGAACTTTATATCATACTTTCTTCCATAAGTCATCTGTGAAATGGGACAAATAATAACAACCCCTATTTCATAGGATTTTTGGGAAGATTAAATTACATGCACACAGTGTGCCTGGCACATGGAAAATACGTAGTGCCTAAGGCATTTGACTGCTACCAGAATGATGGCAGTTCAAACCCATCAGCCACTCCTTGGAAGGAAGATTGGGCAATCTACTTGCATAGAGATACCACCTTGGAAACCCAAGGAGGCATCCCTAGGAGTAGGAATGGACTCAACGGCAGTGAGTTTGTTTTGTTATTAACTACAGCTGGAGCTGGCTGTTGCTGGTACCCTCTAATCTTGCTGCTACACCTGCACCATTCTTTGATGGTCAGGCTCCTGATACAGTGGTCTTCACTGGTGTCTGAGGTGTTGGTTTATGGCAGGGATGCCTTCTGTGCGGGAGCCAGGCTGCCATTAGGGTGGGAATCCCTGCTCTGCCACTTCCCAGCTGTGTCCCTGGGGTCGACTTCCTCACCGCTCTACTCCTTGGTTTCCTCACCAATAAAATGGATTAATCAAACTAGAGGTCATGTATGTATCTTGAAGTGTTGTTCTGAGGATGCAGTAGGCAAATATCCACCAAGTGCTTGGGACAGTGCCTGGCACACTGTAACACTAATCCATATTTGCTGAATATATAGATGAATAGCAGATGTTGTTGTTGTTAAGTGCCATCGAGTCAGACCTGACTCATAGAGACCCCTCCTTGGGTTTCTGAGGTGATATCACTACGTAAGTAGATTGCCCAACCTTCCTTCCGAGGAGTGGCTGGTGGGTTTGAACTGCCAGCCTTCTGGTTAGCAGTCAAGTGCCTCAGGCACTATGCTACCAGCTGAGTTGTAATGAGGAAGGCAGGAAGGGCCATGTAAGTGGCAGTTATGTTTGGAAGCTGGAAGTGAGATTGAAAAGAATAAGTCCTGGACATTTCCTTCCAGAAGAAAAAAAAAAGCAATGCAGTGATCAGGTGGGAAATATTTAGAAAAAAATTGCTGAGCTAACAGTGGCATGTTTTGTGGAATTTCCGACCTTCTTCCCAGAAGACCTTTGTCCCAGGGTGGTTTAAATATAAGCCTGCTAGAAACTTGAGATTGGATTATCAAATGTGCACTTAAGGTCCTGCTTGCTGCAACACTGAGATTAATTACTTAAACTAGACTTTGCTAAAACATGATTTGAGAAATGCATACAAGTGATAAGACAAAAACAGTCAGAAAAGGGATAAATATTTGAGCTATGTGGGTTTTCCTAAAGGGCTTCATTTGGTTTTGTTTTAAATGTTTGAAGATTTCCAAGAGTATACATTTGTTACTTAACAACAAAGCAAAGCAAAATAAAACACTCCAGTGTTCACAGAAATCTACTGCTCTTTGAATTGAGCTTTTGGAGAAATGGGGATTTTGTAAAGGGAAATTTTATGTAATATTCTGCCTTTAAAAGTACAATAAGAGTACTTGTATTTTTGAATTTCTATTAAATGCCTTTTTCATGGTTTGCTTGGCTATTAGCCTCTGAATTATTGGGCTGAAGTTTACTCCTTGAGTCAGGGAGGACACCAGCCACATACCCGTGGCCCAGGCGATCCTCAATCACCCAGCGCAAATGGTTGGGTGGGTGTTACATTCAGGTATTCACACAGAGCTGTTTCTCTCAAAACTCAGTCTCCTGCTTGTCTGTCTACAGCAACACACAATCTACCCACTGACCTGGTTCCCAGCTCCTGTGGCCCACAGGCCGTGGTCTGGGACTGCTTGTGGTGGAGGTTGCATAAGGGGATGGCTTTGGCAACGTGGTGTGGGTGGCCTTGGCTGTAGTTGTTGTTGGTACCTGAGTCAAGATGACTGGCTGTGTGGTTGTTTCTGGAATTGATGGTTTCTGATAGGTTTTTGTTGTTTCACCTGCAAGAAAATGGGGTTACATTGGGGCCTACAAAATAGTAGGTAGGCTCTTATAGGACTAGAAATAAAATAAAATGAAGAAGTGTTTACTGAACACTGGCTACATGCAAAGACCTGTGCTGTAGCGGGTGAAATCAGGATGGACTGACATGATCCATGCCCTAAAACAATGTGCTATCTGGATAGAGAGACAAGCCAATAAGCAAACCAAAGATGAAATAATAATAAAATATTCAAATGACAGTTCAAAACTACAGCAATTAATTTGACAGATGTCGAAAGCTATGGTTCATAAACATACTGCTTTTGCTGTTTTAATTAGCACTAGCCTAGGGATAGAGTCCCTGAGCAGTGCAAACGGTTAATGCTGCATTCACTTGCTCACTGTAAGGTTGGTGGTTTGAGTCTACCTAGAGGCACCTTGGAAGAAAGGTCTGGTGATCTACTTTTGAATAATTGGCCATTGAAAACCCTACGGAGACCAGTTCTACACAAACGACATAGGATCACCATCCGTCAGAGTCCACTGGACAGTAGCTGATGTGTTTGTGTGTGACCATCTCATGGTCACCTTGCTTCCTGCTCCATGTGTGGTAAAATCTCCCTCTGCCTCCTTCTTATAAGGACATTTGTGATTGCATTTATGGTCCACCTGGATAATCCAGAAGGAGATCTGGTGGCACAGTTAAGGCATATGACTGCTCATCAGAAGACTGGCAGTTCAAACCCACCAGCCATTCCACAGAAGGAAGATTGGGCAATCTACTTCCATAAAGATTTACCACCTTGGAAACCCAATGAGGGTCTCTATGAATTGAAATTGACTCGATGCCAGTGAGTTTTTTTTTTTTTTTTTTTTTGATAATCCAGGATAACCTCCCAATCTCAAGATCCTTGATTAATCACATCTGCAAAGAGCTTTTTCTTTTTCTTTTTTTTTCTGTTGTTTGGTTTTGTTATAGCAGGTGACATTCACAAGTTTCAGGTATTAAGACATGGATATCTTTCTAGTGCCATTTTTCAGCCTACCACAGCATTCCAGATCCAGCCTTAACTCTGCTGAGGACTGACCTGTTTTTTGGTACACACAAGAGTAAGCCCAGGGATACAGTATGTGAGGTAAAAAAGGTCGTGTCCTTTTTGTAGGAACTGTCTGCCTTCCTTGATATTGGGAAACAGTTTTAGAATCATCACCCTGGAGAGACCTCACAGATGAACACGTGGTGGGGGGTGCAGACCTATTGCCCAGTGCTGCACCTGCCCATTTCACCCTCTGACACTATCCTCTCCTGTGGGATCACAGTGGTGATGAGGGACAGCAGGTCAGTGCACTGAGCCCCGGAACTGGCCTGAAGTGAAGCTGTTGAGTGCTCTTGCAGGCATAAACTGGTGTGGCAGGAAGCAGCTTACTCACTTACCCTATTTCTTGCTAACAAGTGGGTTGCCTTTACTTCTGCCCACAGACTGTGCCAGACAAATTACTAAAGAGCTGGCAGCAGCCTCCAGGGTTCAGCCAGTCGCCACACCATCCTCAGGCAAAACTGAATTTGCGTGATTTACGACATTTCTCTTACTTTAAAGGGATTGAACTTTCATAACAAGTCCTAGGGAAGTTTCTAATTTCTCCAAAGTACTCCTCTGTCTTACCCTGTGGTAAATGCTACTAGGCATTACTCTCTTTAGGGAGACACAGGCCCAGGTTCAATCTACATCATATAGGGAAGAGCCATTTCATATTGCTTGTGGATTTTATGAAATAGAATATAATTATTAATTTGAGAGAAATATATAATAATCTAGTTATACATTTTACTTGCAAATTATTAATTAACCCACAGAATAACTCATTGCTGACAAGTCAGTTCCGACTAGAGTGATCCTGTAGTTCAGAGTGGAACAACCCCATAGGGTTTTTAAGGCTGTAAATCTTTACAGAAGTTGACAGCCTCATCTTTCTTCTGTGGAGTGGCTGGTGGGTTCAAAATGCCAAACCTTCAGTTAACAACCAAGTGTTTTAACCACTACGCCACCAAATAAAACTCCTATTTGCTAATAGACACTTTTTGCCACATTAAATTTAATAGATACTGAAAATTTGAATTACATTTTTCTCATAACCAAAAAACCCAAACCCACTGCTATCAAGTTGATTCTGACTCATAGTGATTCCCATTGGGTTTCCAATTCTGTAAATCTTTACAGTAGATCAGCTCATCTTCCTCTCACAGAGCAGGTAGTGGGTTTGAACTGCTGACCTCTGGTTAGCAGCCAAATGTCTTATCTACTACACCACCAGGCTTTTGACTACCCCAATCTGCCTTTGTTAGGAGCTCTGGTAGCATAGTGGCTAAAGCACTTGACTGCTAACCAGAAGGCTGGCGGTTCAAACCCACCAGCCACTCCTCGGAAGGAAGGTTGGGCAATCCTACTTCCGTAGTGATACTGCCTCGGAAACCCAAGGAGGGGTCGCTATGAGTCAGGGCCGACTTGACGGCACATAACAACAACAACAACGATCTGCCTTTGTTAGTGTTGATTTGCTGGAGAACAGGTTAAATATCTCGAGGGCAGCCTTTGCGTTACTTGATTAAAACACAGAGGCTTCAAGCATGTTATAAATCCAAGCAATATAAGCCATCCCTCTGGTCTTCCATAGGTTTCCATATACTTCTGTGGGTTGTGACTTTTGCCCTCTTTCCATTATGGATCAAAACTGTCATTAAAAGGCGGAGACAGAGAAAATTACTCTACTTCGATTGCTCCGAGTTTCTTACTGAACATAATGCCCTTCTGTGATTCACGGGTTTGTCTCAAGTAATTTGAAGTAAAATCAGTAAAACAGTTTCTTCATACAACCTCAGACACATGGAAATTTGGTGTCTTTTTAAAGATTTTCGAAAGAAAAATATTACTTCCCTCAGGCCCTTAACATATAACTCTTTTGGCCGTGATCAAGAGCAGCTACATACAGTCACCTTCTCAACAGCAGCAAGAGGTGGGTCAGGGCTCTGCACACCTGGCTTATCACCAGAGTCAGAGTAGAGGTGTTAAAATGCATATTCCAGGGCCCCACTCACAAAGATGGAGCTGGAGATGAAATCTGATTAGAGAACCACAGACAGTACCAGACTGACTCCTGGCTCCACCACCCTTCTCCAGCCTGGCCACTAAAGCTTTCTGAGCTTGTTGTAAAATCGGGATGGTAACACCTGTTTTGCAGCCTGTTGTCATAATTAAAGGTCATGTCTACAGCCCACACAGTGCTTGGCACATGCTAAACCAATTGCCACTGAGTTGACCCCAGTTTGTGGTGACTCCAGATCAGTGGCATCACTAGAGTTGGTGTCTTCCATTGTCACCTCCCCCATACCAGATGACACAGAATCCTTAGTAATGTTTACTATCAGTTTTAATCATAGAATAATATGTGATAAATATAGTTGTAAATTGCTTAACTATAATATTTCTTAGATTATATGAATACTAGGAGCTCTGGTGGTGTAGTCCCTAAGGCATTTGACTGCTAACCAGAAGGCTGGTGGTTCAAACCCACCAGCCACTCCTCCAAAGAAAGGTTGGACAATCTACTTCTGTAGTGATACTGCCTTGGAAACCTAAGGAGGGATCCCTATGAGTCGGATCCAACTCGATGGCAGTGAGTTTGGTTTTATATGAGTATTAACAACAAAATCATTTTATAAACTTTTTTCTGCATTGAATTACATTACTAGTAACTGAGCAGAAACTTTTTTTGATTTTTCTCTTTCTTTTCCCTTAATTACAACTTCATTCTCAAAAAAAATTATTGAGCATTGACCTATGTTACTTCAGTTTTGTATATTTCAATGAACAAAAATTATATTTCAATAAAATGTATTTAAAAAAAGTTATTTATATAAAATATATCACAAATACTAATTACCACAATTTTGTAGCTAAAACATCAGAAAATTTGACAAAATCTGCAACTATCAAAACACCAGCACCACCACCAACAATAGCACAAGCTTGTATTGTGTGCAGATGAAATCACATGTTTTGAAGCATCATTGTAATTCGGTAATAATGACAGCTCTGACTGCAGCCCATGAGAAGTTTCAAAAAGTAAATTAGCACAAAATTTTAGCCTTATAGTTATATTGATATATGTAAGCTGGGCTTATGAAAAATGTATTTGTTGTTATAACGAACTACAGGGGTATTTTTATTAAAAATAAAATAATAAATTTCTGTTGAAACACTGCACAAAAATTTTATGGACAGTCATTTTTGTGTCAAACCCCCCACCACCACCACCAAACAGTGTCTCCTGGTATAGTCTGCACCCCCTGAACCTCCATGGTAATGACATTGCTTCATGTGTATTGGAGTGGAACTCTGCTCCATAGGGCCTCCAATGGTTGATTTTTTTTGGAAGTAGACCAGCAGGCCTTTCTTTTGAGGTGTCAACCTTTATGTAAGCAGCTGAGCAAGTTAACCATTTGCACCCCCCCAAGGACTCTTGGCATGTGGTAGGCATTCAATAAATACACGAGCAACATTGAAGCCAGCTTAGCAGCAATGCTTGGAGGTCAAACTTATGGAAGAGCAGTAGTTCATCCTTCCCACAGTTACTCATTATGAGTCTCAGGATTATATATCTGGGCAGGAAATCTCGTATTCATTGAGTATTTCCTACATACCAGACTCTGTGAAGGCCTCTTTTACATAAGCATTTACATTAAATCTTGCAAATTGATCCAAGTAATCCCATTTTTAACGTAAGGACAGATTTTCAAAGAGGTCAAGAAGTGTGTCTAAGATGAAACAGACAGTAGGTAGCAGAGCCAGGATTGAAACCAGGTTTGTTTGATTCCAAATCTCATGCTCTTTCCCACAAAAGGGGAGCAAAGTAGGAGACAAAATGTCTTGAAGATTCCTGAGTGGGGTTGCCATTAAAGGGTGCTCTGAGGTCTCCAGAGCTGTGGGCAAAGTAGCCTTCTTTTCGAAGGAGGGTGAGG